GTACAAACACCACCATTTGTAATGGTGAGCTTATGCATGGACTCCAACTTGACATGCACACTAACGTGGGCAGCAGAGTTCTCGACGAAGAAGGTTTTCTAGGAAGATTTCCACCTCCAGTTTATCATGATGAAGATGGAATTGCCAATGTACTTTGCTATGCGCGACCGCATTACTATGGATACTGATACTGACAATGCTTTTATTGTGCATTGTGATGGAAACAGAAAGATGTGATTTGTGAATCGTAAGGGTGTGTATGTGTTGGAGCAACTTGGAGCGAATGTCAAACCAGGTGCCAAAGAGACAAGTGCAATGTACCGTTGCCATTTAAGCAACTTAAATAATCAACCCCATTTTGAACTTTCTTCAAACAAACAGAATGGATATGCTGGACTCAAGATGACCTCCAAGATGGCAACCGTTCAAAAGAACAAGGAAGGATTCACTCCAAGAGGAATTATATCAGCACAATTGATCTATTACAGTCTGTTTTGATCACATGGAGATTGAGAATGCTAAGTTTCTCACCTGCATTGATATCACTGTGCGTTATCGCTCATGTATTCCTGTGCAGAACCTGAAGACTGACCCTGTATTTGAAGCATTGGCTTTCAAGTCAAGATCATCAAGTGTGATCGGGCGTTCATTCCTCTCACGGATGATATGCTGGACAACATGGGTGTTACTATTGACCCAACTGCAGCTGGAGACCACGAGTCAGAGTTGCTCTTGCACAATTACCCTACAAAGTGGTCCCAAAAGTAATCACTGAATGTCTTGGACGTCGAGCCGCCAAGCTATTGAATGTCTTTCCCCAGAAAAACAGTATCTCATCACATTTCAGTCCACAGGAACTCATTGATAATGTCAATATCAACTACAAGAGTGACATGGTTGCTGAACTTGGACAATATGTTCATGCAATTGGGACGGATTCCAGCAATTTGATGGAACCCCAAAGTATCAAAGCGATTTACATTGAACCTACTAAGGGACAACGTACTGGGCACCGAGTGCTCAACCTCAATACTAAGAAAATGATTTCCTGACCTAAGGTCGTTGTACTACCCGTTACCGACCAAGTATTCCAGTGTGTTGAAGCTTGGGCTGCTGCCGAAGGTGTTACTTCCATGAAGTTTTTCGATAAGAAGAGAGATTTGGAGACATTTCAAGATGGCAATCAAGTTGCAGGAGTGGATGACACGGAACAAGGTTACTTAGAAGAAGCCTTTGATCAGGACTATGAACCTGAAGATGAAGATGAACGTGATTTCAATCTACGGCTGATGATATCAATGACTCCAAAAGAGAAGAGCTCTTGGCAGATGCAGACAATGATGTCGATGATATGCCAGAACTCACTGTCAGATTCCGTGGAGATGACGACTATGAATCAGACGACAATTTGGGTGATGAAGGCAATGAAGAGGAAGAACCTATTGTGGCCGATTTGGATCACCATCAAGAAAATGTCGATAGAGGAACCGATAATATTGGGAGTCTCGTTACTGATCTGGAGGACCTACAAGAGCCGCCAGAAGAATAGATTGTATTTGAGCCTGAAGAAACGCATGAAGTAGCAAAAGTCACTTGATCTGGGCAAACGTATGCGCAAGCTGCAATGTCTGGGCTGAACCTTTCTCAAGTTCCAAAGAAACCAAGAGAATGGCCTTCGAGCAGGAGTGGCAGTTCTGCCAATAAGAACAAGAATCAAGTTGCGACAAGACGCAAGCATCAAGAAAAAGAATTGAAACTGTTGAAAAACAAGTTAAAATCTGGTATTCGTACCAAAGAAGGAAGTCGCAGTACTAAAGACAGCAAAGCTATCCTTGAAGCAAAGCACAATCTATGTTTCCAAAAGATTGGGAATGAGATGAAAGCTGATTATGAAGAGCACGACGCTATTCTGATTGCTCCTTGCATGATGCAGATCAAGGCCAAGTTTGATACTGATGAAGGTCTGAACTTCATTCAAGAGTATTATACTAATCAAGGACTTAAGGAGATTGGTGATGATGGAAAGGATGCCGTGGATAAGGAATTGAGACAAATGCTCATGAGAGATTGTTTCACTCCTGAATTTGTTAAAGACATGACCGCGTCTGAGCGAAAGAAGGCACAATCAGCGATGATGTTACTCGTGGAGAAGCAATTCGAAAAGACAATTAAAGGTCGCCTAGTATTCCGAGGCAATGGAACTTGTGAATGGTTATTGCAAGAGGACACTGCAAGTCCAACTGCTTCGCAGGAAGCAAGCAATCACCACTACTTGTGTTATTGATGCAAACAAAGGTAGAGATGTAATGACGCTGGACGTGCCTAACGCTAAGGAAGGAGAAGATCGCGTCTACATGAAAATCACTGGCATGATGGTCCAGATATTGATTGACATGGCCCCAGAGTATCGCAAATACGTTGTATTAGAGAACGGAAAGCGGGCAATCTATGTGCGGGTACTACGTGCTATATATGGGATGTTGCAATCAAGCCTCCTATTCTATAATCAATTTCGAAGTGATTTGGAGGCAAAGGGATTCGTTTTCAATCCGTATGACCCGTGTGTTGCTAACAAAGTTGTTGATGACAAACAGCAAACTATCAGATTTCATGTTGACGATCTTATGTCAAGTCACATGGATCCAAAAGTAAATGACGAATTTGCTGAATGGTTGAACATGAGATATGGTTTGATCCAGGCATGTACAATCGTCAGAGGAAAGATACACAGATATCTTGGAATGACTTTGGATTTCTCGGTGAAAGGAAAACTCAAGATCCGCATGGACGACTATGTCAAGAACATGGTGGAAGATTTTCCTATCAAGTTCAAGCACAAGGATTCAAAGCAGGAAACACCAGCTGGTAACGATTTAATGGAAGCTGGTAAAGGGAAATTACTCAATGCTGAGTACCGTCAAATCTTTCATACTACTGTTGCAAGGGGACTTTAAGTTCAAGGAAAATGAGGGGTGTAAGACACCAGCAAGTAATGATTTGCTATCAATGGGAAAAGGAGAAAATTGGATGATGAGAAATGTGAAACTTTTCACACATTCATTGCCAAAGGATTATTTCTGAGTAAGTGAGCAAGATTGGATATTGCTCCAACTATTTCAGTACTTTCTACAAGAGTACAGAGTACAGAAACCAAATGAAACTGATTGGAAGAAGCTAGTGAAGCTGATGTATTATCTGAATGCACCTGACGCTGAGTGCAAAAGATTTACAAACTTTCAAATGGTATATTGATGCATCATTTGCAGTTCATCCAGATTTCAGAAGTCACACTGGAGTGTATTGCCTATGGGTGAGGGAGGATTGCAAATAATCTCGAAGAAGCAGAAGTTGAACAGTCGAAGTTCAACAGAAGCCAAATTGATTGGTGTTGATGATGCTGCGACACAGATATTGTGGACAAAATTGTTTGTGGAAGCACAAGGTTATCCTGTTGAAGAGAACATCCTATACCAGGATAACAAGAGTTCTATTCTATTGGAAAAGAATGGACGTGATAGTGCCGGAAAGCGAAGCCGAGCTTTGAACATTCGATATTTCTTTATGACTGATCAAGTCAAGAAAGGAAATGTGACTATTGAATATTGTCCAACTGAAAAGATGTGGGGAGATTTCATGAGCAAACCTCTACAGGGACATTGATTCAAGGAGAACAAGATTAGGAGCAACGTAATTTCCTTTGATGTTCCGTTGTCATCAACTATGTTAATGAAACGGCAGGAGTGTGTTGGATATATTAGGATTTTCAAAGTACATATTTGGAGAAACGAGAAAAAGAGAATACAGGTGAACAATAGAGAAATGATGTTGACTGATATGACTAAAAATATCGCACGTGGCAAGTCAGAAAAGACAATCTATTTCTATGGAAATCATCATGTTGATGATGTAAAAAAGCAAGATTCAAGCAAGAACAAAAGTTGGATACTAATCAAAGTACCGACCACAGTGGAAGATGAACGGATAAACAGATTGAACTTGCAGCATGTCAGGCTGACGTAGAGAGAATTCTGAGAATTTCCACTGAGCTGGAGAAGAAAGAGTCAAAGTCAAAAGTTGACAGACTGTTCTCACTTTTTATAATATATTGCTCGCAACAAGTGAATTGGTTGATAAAGTAGGATCTCTGATAGATCTATATACTTCTATATACTGTAAATTTATATACTTAGAAGGCAACAATACCTGGACAGCTAAATTGCAGTCAATTGAACAGGTAGATTGCAGGCGGCAGTGGATTGCTTACTTCTAACAGTGGGAACAATGGAACGCCGTTCAACATTTGGATGACAATGTTCAGCTCTGTGAACGTCACTGTGTTGTCAATGAGGGGATTCACTCTCAGTTTGATATGGGTTCAGCTGATTTACCTCCGGATATTAGACGCATGCTGACATGCTGTCACAGCGTCCTTCATAAGTCACTGGTGGACAAGGAAGTATGGCTGAAGCTACTTCGACAGGAGCGCAAGGACTATTGTCGCTCTCTGCGGGCTCAACGCAGTAGCCTCCGGACTATCTTCTCTGCTCCCCCCTCCTGAACGCTTCCCAACGTTTGTGGGACAATAAGCGCCCTGAATACACCCCACCTCGCTGCAGCAGAAGTCATTCTTAACGACATGACTTGAGCAACTTCTGTTTAGGTACAGATGCCTCCCATGGTTCAAACTTGTTGATGACTTGACCTTTACAGCCAAATATTTCACCAGCAATCGAATGCCCATTGAGTAGCATCCTAACGATTATTGTGGATTTCAGCGTTTTTGGCAATCTTGGGTAACAAAACCTGAAATAATAACCCCCTTTTTGGGCTGAGTACCTAATACATCTCAATGACGTTTCTCTATAAAAAATAAATAAGAAAAAATATAGCCACACAAAATCAGTAGGAAACATACGAAGATACCTTCGTTGATGAGGCTAACATGCAGACAACTGATGAACACTGATAACCATCGATTTAGATAAGGAATCTAAGCCTGGAATGGCACTCTGCAGAGTGCTATTCCAGCCTTAGATCATAAAATAACAGAGCCAGATTATGACATACTCGACTGACTTTTGGTGGAGAGTCATGAGTTCACAGCTGAATCCGATTGAAGTTTGCTTTGGACGACTAAAGAGGTATATTCAGAAGAAGGCCAACCTAGTCTTTCCACTCTATCCTGAGTTGGTGTTGAAGGTTGCCTTGAGAAAGTGTACTAGAAATCAAAATGTCTCTGGTTCTACAGGAGAATATGCTCATTGCGGCTATGCAATGGTGGATTGGACGATGATGTTTTTGATAATCTTTGTAATCCTGCTAATAATGATGATTGACTCTAGTCTTGATTAAGGTGATCTACATCAACATGTCAGCTCCGTCTGGAAGAACTGGATGTGTATACTCATTGTAGATGCCTTGGTGGAAGCTTTTATGGTTCGGAAGTGAAAGAGCCTGACGGAGCAATACAATGTTCATACAAATCATGGCCTTGGTACCACCAAATAGCTCAATTTCGACAGGCCTGTACACACTGTTGCTATCGGCTAGAGCCTGAGCATCCTCATTCTGCAATCGTGCTTGGTCGCGATCGAGTGCTTGGGCTTGGCGGGTTGTCGCATCAGTCGGGATCGCAAGCTCTGTGCCTTTGGGGGCCCTTACATTGAATGTTGCCAAATGGTGTTCAGCAATTGGTCCAATTTGTAGATTGTTTGCTGCTGCATGCTGGCGAAGCGGTTCCCTCTTCCGTTGAATTACAGGGGCAGTGGCTCTTCTTAGTCGTTGTACATGAGGCGCTTGACGCCTTGGAATGTAGACGAAGAGTTCAAAAATTGTCCCTTCAGTTGCAGTCTTGTTCAACTTGGCACTGGCATAATTCTGCATATCGAGTGTAGTGATCTTATGCCAGCGGTATCTCAGTAGCTCAAGTTAAAATCAAAATACTGCCCACCTCTGCATGTGCCACCCGGTGTGCCGTTTTTGAAGATTACTTGTCCCTTGAGATCTTGATCTTCATCTTAGGGAAGGTTGCCCTCAGCTTGTTGCACCATCTTCTTTTCGTCTCTGGAGGGAGAAGTCACTCGCGCGCAAATAAAAAGCGTAAATAATTTTTTAGTAAGTCGATAAATCAGAATTAAGTCGATAAATCAGAATTAAGTGATTTCCAGGGTTGGGTTTATCCCCTTTATTTGGTGGGCAGAATTTCTGAAATTCACAATAATGTCTCAGTTATTATTATCTCCTGTTGTTGGCCTGCAGCTCCAAATTCATCATTTGAATCATGCACATGAGGTCCACCCGAATCTCGCCTGGTTTCTTCTCAATTAAGCAAGTGGCACCACTGGGCTGGGACAAATCCTGTGGCAAAAAGGATGGAGCAAAAGATCGTGTCGCAGCAGGCGAGCAAGTTGGATGCCACTCCCCCTTTGAAATGGCCATTATGCAAGCCGTATGGCTCTGAACCTTTGTGTTCCCCCATCTTACGCCAGAAGCTAACATGGTCCTCCAGATCCACTTCCAGTGGTTGGTCTTCCAAGCCCTCCGGCCGTCAGCAATGGTCCAGGAATGACACCAGGTAAGGATCCACTGTCTCACCTTCATAGAGACCCCAGAGCAGTGCTTGGCTGTTCCCTTTGGCGTTGGGGCCATTGAAGTACAGAGGTTCAGTCATGGGTGGAGTGGGGGAGGGGTAGCGGGTCTGGTCATACCGGAGCCGGTTCTCTTGCATGCAGCCTTCTTCCACAAGACATTTAGACTGGCATGTTACCCAATGGGAGGTACCATCCTGTGCCACCTGTGCCACTTTGATCTGCTGGAGGCCACCGGAGAAGCCTTTGCCTTGAGCTTTCCGTCGCCGTCGGGTCTCCTCTTTTTGTGCCATCCTCTGGACTCAAGTCCGTCTGGTACGAGCTTTGATGTTGCCCTTCTTTGCACTCTGGACCGCTGCCAATCGAGTCTCCAGATATTCCAGGCGCCACTGATGGGCACGCTTCCGCTTGACATCTTTGTAGGCTTGATGTTCATGGTACCACTTTGCCTGTAGGTCAGCTTTGGATAATTTCCATGCATCGCTCAGCCCGGTCTTCTTCAACAAACGCCGTACCTTCCGTGAACTAGTCCTGACCTGTTTATGGCCCAAGATTAGGAGCTGGTAAAGGTGCAATCTATCCCATTTCTGCTGCATTTGTGGTGACCAGTGCACCTTACCCATCGACAGTTTCCGGCAGTTGCGCTCAGCCTTTCGGCGGATCTCATAGGCCTGGCGATGAATGGTGTTGAATCGAGCTTTTTGATTCGCCGTAAGGTAACCGTCCTGGACCAAAATATCCTCCGCTAATTGGGTCAAGCGTTGGGGAAGGCGGAAATGCCGGTAGCCTGCTTCTGCAGCCTTAATATAGCGGTCGACAGACCGACCATCGGCCAGTGTCAACCAACGTGGTTGGAAGGAAGAGGTCACCGGTGGGGCCTCAAGAGTCGCTTCCAGGTCAATGTCAATCCAGAGTCCCCTGTGGTCCGACTTCAAATACTGCTGAAAGTCCAAGTATCCACCTGCCCTTACACGGACGCCGTCGGTCACAAATATACCGTCGATGGGAGTATCCGTCGTCCGACTTTGGGTTGTCGCTGGGTAAGGGCCCTGAAGTCGGCGTAAGATGGCCTTGGTCAGACCTTCTGACCGCATCTCTTGGCGGAATGAAGAGGGAGAGTTGTAGGAGACATCTTTGTTTGCATCTAACCCAAGGAGAATCTCACACCCTTCCACTTTCCATTGTTTGATCAGGTCCACCAAATCCAGTGTGAGCTTGTCACCGGGATCCATAGTCACCCCCTTGCTCAGCCAGTAATTCCGTTGGTAGTTCCAAACACTACCAGCATTGATGCCTTCCTTGTTCGGACGATATGCAAAAACCACCACAAGATCTAAAGGACCAGCCGTCTGAGACTCCTGTTGTCGGATATCCCTACCCCGGATCTTGATCCAAGAGAACCTAGCCCTGTCTCATCTTTGCCGCCTGACTTTGCACCGAGCGCGACCTTGTTGAGTAATGTAGCAGAACATCTGCCCCATTGATGCGCTGAGGGAGTTGGAAACTCCTGGTGTTTGTAGTAAGACACTGAAGAGAAATGTCCCTGGTTAGTGAAGGACTTGACCCAATCAAACAACTTGTGTCCTCTGGGCACTGCTGACCATTGAAGGTTAACTTCAGCCAGCAATGTAATGCCCACTCTCTCATCCGTCCAACACTTGAAGAGCCCTTTTTGTTTCTCATGTGTCATGGAAATGGAAGACCCTGAACATTTGAAAAAGGACCCGGGTAACACAAGGAGACTGCTGGCGTGAGTTACCGGGAGGGAGAGAGTTTAAATAAGCATCCAGCAAGGAGTGGGCCGCCTGGCTGGATGTGTGTTGGTTGCGTAGAATTTGACCTTGGCCTTCCGTCAAACGCCGCAACCTTGCATGACGGGACCGTTGGTGGTTAGGGACCACCGTCGGGGGGTACCCCACTGTCAGCCGATGATGTTGCCTTGCTGGAGGAGGGCTTGTTCCGCCATTTTGGCCTCCAATTCAAGGATATGGGCAGCCTTGGCAGCCTCCGCATCCTTAGCTTGAGCCAGTTCTTCCGCCGCAGTCTCTAATTCTGTGCAAAGGTTGTTGATATCCGCTTTCATGTTCTCCAATAGTGCTGCCTACTGTAGCCCTGTCATCCATATCCTTGGCAGCTGGCATCGACAGGTCAATCGTGATAGTGCCCTCAAATTCCGGAGAAGCCTGCTCTGCTGCGAGGAGCTTCTCAATCCACTCATTATCATCCTTCTCCACTTGCTGGTCCAAATCGACGTCCCGCTCATACTCCAAGATTGCACGATGTTGGCGTTGGTCCCAGGTCATAGCGTTGGTAACCGTTCAATTTATAGTGGTCCAAGCAGAGCCAGGTGCGGCATGTCTTCCTCTGTGCTTCAGGTCCTGTCTTAACTCAAGGTGAGAAATAAGGAAGGCCGCCTTCCTGTGCCAATGAGGCAAACTTTTAGCGCACAACAAACACATAGAAGCCATCAATTGCGCCTGGTAGGATCATTTGGAAGAGACCGGCTGGGCCCTGGATCAGTTCCGCATCCATTGCCGCAAGCCATGCACTGCAATCAAATGCCTCAGTGACCAGGGGCTGCTCAGATGCAGAAAGTTTCGCCTGAGCGGAAGACTCCGTAGGAGGGTTGGTTGCTGACTGGGGTGTAAACTTAGCCTGAGGCGTCTCGGTAGGTGTCTCAAGAGGTTGCTTGGCCTGGCGATTCTTAGACCCCTTGCGACTGACACGCTTGGTGGATGGGGCGGGTAGAGTTGGCTGAGCTGTGGTGGGAGCAGTTCCACTTGGGTTGGTCGGTGTTGTTGCTGGAGGAGTAGAAGACACAGAAGGTGGCAACGGAGAATCTGGAGTGTTGGCATCCTGTGTTGCGGATTGTTCAGGCTGAGCAGGTGAAGGTTTCTTGACCGCTGGTATGAACTGAATCGCATAGAGGAATTGGAGGAGGGATTTGCCCTTGCCCTTGTTACAGTACTTTGGAATCAGGATCTTGGTCAGCATGCCTTGGATAGGAAACAGTGGAGCCAGGGAGGTGCAGGTCTGGGAGGTAGTGTCATGGGTGTTGATGAGTTTCCTAATGATGACATTCCACTGCCCTCCTGGTTGCGAGAGGTCACCTAGGTTTCCCTTCGTAATGGCCCCCCAATCGTAGACAAACTGAGTCCGGGCACCAAACGGCATGTGACACTTCTTTGTCTCTGGCCTGAGCCATGCAAAGAGCTGCAGAAGAGTCAACTTGACAAGAAAAGGCGAGATTTACTCACCCTTGATGAAGCCCTTCAAGAAAAGGAGCAACAACTCAAGAAACAGAAAGATACACAGAAGAAGAAGGTCAAGAAACTAAAAGATGAAAAAAAAATAGGAACAATATTTGACGATGTTCGATAAAGCACTGCAAAAAGCTGGGACTTGTTCCGTTTGCAGGTAACGAAAGAGACAGAGGAGGAGAAAGAAAATAGATCAAAGGGGAGCCTGAGCCCTTCAAGTGTGAACCAGGATTTTACTGGATTGCATCAAAGTAGAAGACCAAAGAAGCGAAAGGTTGGGGCAGAAGAACAGTAACTGCAGGCATTGCCATTATATAAAATAATTATACATGATACATTTTCTTGTGCTTGCTCATATAATTCGCTTCAATCAAAGTCCCAACAAATTGAATTAGAGCCACCAACCTTGTATTTGAAAATTCCTTCAACGCGGTGCCAGCTTTTGCCTGTCTCTCTGCATTGGAAAGACCTTCTGTTCGTATTGCCCTAGTATGACTTGCCACAAGTTAACAAAGGCCTACAATGTACCAGAATAGTTCCATTGACGCAATTCCATAACACAAATACACTGAAAGTGCAACACCATATTGCTTCACTCCTAGTGCTCGTTGCTGAATATTGAGGAGGTTGCTAGATACAGCATCTATATCCCCAAGGTGAATACAGGCATCGGAAAGTGACAGACAGAAAATATCTGTAGACAGAGCTGTTATGTATTTGGAGCAAAGTACTTTGATAGAAGTATAAAACTTGTGAGACAATAGTTTGATGTAAAAGTGCAGATTTACTAAAATTGTGACGATATGGCAGTGAGAACTTGTTGAGTTTAGCGACGTCTCCGATTGCTAGACTCCGTGTTCATAGGTTCAACTGCCATTCATCGTGTTAACTATTCGCTTATTTCAATGTGTTCAAACAATCACATGAAGATTGATGCACCGAAAGTTCAACGGCTTGTGTTGAGTATGTGATTTTTTGGTTTCACACGAAAATGTGGATCGTGGGATTTTCGTTTGTATATGACACGTGTTGTGGAGTATCACACGTGTCGCATCGGAATATATATTCCGACTCTCCCTCTCAAAGAGAGAATGATTACCATCCGTTGATGGAGAATCGGTTGCGTTCGAAGGGAACTCGAGTCAGACCTTTAGTGAAGATGTCTGCTCGTTGCTTATCAGTGGTAATCTTGGATACTTTGATTTTTCCGTCATGCCAAGGACCATTGGGGTTATTTTGAGGAGGGCCATCTTGAGGGCGATGGACAAAGGACCAGAAATGATGATAGAACTGGCTCAAATAGCGGGTGCGATTGGTGATTCGTTGACTGATAGCGAGAAGTAGTGCACCAGCATTGTCTTCGAAGATGATGGAGCGAACAAAAGCGGTCAAGTTTGGAAGTTGGAGCCGTGGAAGAAGTTCTTCGATTAGATTCTAGAGCCCCAGAAGAACCGTCATGGAGCGAGAAAGTTGAACATATTCAGCCTCGAGAGTGCTGAGAGTAATGCACGATAAGAGCGAGCTTTTCCAAATGAGAGGAACTCCTCCAAGGAAAATGATATATCCGCCACGAGACCGAGACACTGCTGGATCATATGGAGCCTCAGATTTGAACAGTCCTGCAAAATCTGCATCACAGTATGCTTCAAGGTCAAGAGTCCCATTAAAGTTCACAATCAACCCTTTGTCGGATGTCTTCTTGAGGTAACGAAGGATTGTCTTGACGGCGGTGGCATGGCTGACTTTTGGATTGCTGTTGAAGCGGGCCGCACAGGAGACTGCATAGCTGATGTCTGGGCGAGTATTTGTGCAGAGGTAGATTAGCATCCCAACGATTGAGCTGTAGCGCCAGGGATGTTGGGACCAAGGTTCTCCGTTAGGGTCCTTTCCTAGTGGGGTTGGTGCAGCCGGAACGTGATTGGGACTGCAGTCGGTCATCTTGGCGGCTTCGAGCACCTTCTTGATGAGCCCTTCTTGAAGGAGGTGGTATCTACCATCCTTCATCTGGCGAATTTCGACTCCAAGAAACGTTTCAAAGTCGCCTTCAATCTCCAAATCAAATCCCTTTTCTTTCAGCTGGTTGACAAGTTCATCGATTTTCTCTGGTTTGTCAGTGCTGATACCGCAGTCGTCGACATAAACGACAATCATCATGTCTTTGCGAATAAGGAAGCATTTATCGTAGGAGGAGCTTTCAAATCCAAGCTCGTGAAATGCCTTCATTAAATGTTCGTACCATAGCCTTGGAGCAATAGTTGTCCCATATGTAGACTTCTTGAGGTGTAGTACTGTTCGTTCACCAGTGATACTTCTCATATTAGAGTAGAAACCTCTTGGTAGGTGAGCAAACATTTCCAGATTGTCTGGTAGTTTGGCATGGAGAAAGGCATTGGTGAAATCGATCGACTTCATGACCCATCCAAGCTTGAGACTAAGGACCATAAATGTGCGGACCGAGGACCAAGCGACGACTTCAGCGGTGGTGTCCATGTCCAGGTCCTGAAGATCACCTCGTAATACCCATCTGGCCTTGAATTTGATGATGGATCCATCTGGCGCGCGTTTGACTCGAAAAACCCAAGTGCCAGGAATTACTCTGACTGTGGCATTGGATTCTGGGGCTTCCAACCATGTGCGCTTGTGTTCGAGTGCTCTGATCTCCTTCAAGGCAGCCTCACGCCACTTGTCTCGATCAGGACCAGCCATAGCTTCATCCCAGCTTAAAATATCAGGGTCGGTGGTGCCAGTTTTGAGAAATTCGATCGAATCAGGTGGTGCCTTGCTGTCAAGAAACACAAATTTGGGAGTGTTTGTGGTGGTGTAGCCAAGGTAGGAGAAATGGAGGTCATAGAATCCACAAATACCACCATCATCTGACTCTGGTTGAGTCTTGAATCGTCTGTATGAAGGATGGCTGGTGGTCAATACCAGATCCTCGTTGGCAAGAAATGGAGTGTCCTTTGGGAACGAATGGAGGTTTTCGGTGTCATTGAAGTCGGGATCGTTTGATGGATTGATCTCGGCCAAGTTGGAGGATGGCAAAGGTTTGGAGACGTAGGTCTTAGAATGGGGGTTGGGATCGAGAATGGGAGCCGGTTTACCTCTGGTGGATCGTGTACTGCGTCGCAATGGTGGTCCGGATGATGATGTTGGCGGAATTGATGATGATGGTAGGTCAATGGGAGTTTCGCGTGCCGTTATATGGGGACTCTTTGACTGAGTTTGTTGCTCCCTCTGAAGGGGTGATGGAGTAGGATTGCCAGTATTTGTGGATGTAGGAATATTGGCGGGAGGAGACTGCTCCCTCTCAACTGACACACTCTCCCTCTCAAACGAAGGTTGGGAGGGTTCACGGAAAACGGAGGGATCAGAAAGGGTAGGTTGGGTGCCGGCGTAGCGGCTGGTGGAAGGTTCAAAGGAATCAAGAGCGGAAGGCTCATAAGATAGGGGGACTTGAGATTGAGGTGTCAAGGAAGGAGGATCATTATCATCGGTGGGAAATTGAAATTGGGAGTCACCGAAGAGATGCTGCCACTGTTCCTCCATGAAGGTGGGGACATCGTCAACGTTGGCGGATAATGTGGCAAACCAGTCATCAAAGATGCAATTGAATTGGGGTGTGATTTCACCGGTGCGAGGGTTGAGGACCAGCGGCACTGTGCTTGCATGAAAAGGACTGAACCCAAGGTGAACGTAGCGTTCGGAGCGTGGCAAGAACTTGGGGAGAGTCTTACCATCTGCGATTTTCTTGTCGAGAACGTAGGTGGGGCATCCAAACACATGGATATCGTGATATTTGGAGTGGGGCCAACGTTGGCGGGAGAATTTGTCCCTGGGTGTGAGACCAGTGTCGACGTCGGGGAGGTGGTTGTGGAGGAAGACTGCATGGTCAATGGCCATTGGCCAGAGAGCGAGATCGGCTTGTTCGGGCCAACGGATGGCAAGGTGAATGAGTAATGTGCGGGCAGTAGATTGAATGTCCTGAATGGCCTTTTCGACGATGCCATTGGCATGGTGTTGGCCGACACCAGCGAACTTTTGAGTTTGACTGAAGGCTTCAAGATGTTGCTTGTATTCGTGGCTGTGGAAGACAGCAGCGTTGTCACTGCGGTATTTTTGAGGAACGACACCAAGGTCACGACAATTCGCCTCATACATTTCCTTGGCCCATAATGTTTCGTGGGTGTTCAGGGATTTCTGATGTTGAACGAAGATATATCCTGTCGCATTGTCGACAAAGATAGCAGATCCGCGGAACATCTCAGACTTGTGACCTTTCCCGTAGCCAGTGTAGGTTCGGCCAGGAACAGCTGTTACAAGGCGACCTCTCTCCCATTCTCCCGGATCTGATCTCGTCCCCTTCCCCGGTTGCCTCTTTCCCCAGCTGGGATGATGACTCCGTCTCCACCAGCTGCTTCAGTGAGATCGATGCGCACGATTCTGACTGATCCCCCCCCCCTTCCGTCCTCATCAATCAACATGGAACCGTGTCCATCTACAACGCCACCACAACTATTGCTACCTCCATCGCCAAGTTTGCTCAGGATCACCTATTCCTCTCTGAGACATCTGCCAACATAGAACCAGCGTTTCCGGTCATCTGGGACTCTGGAGCCTCGGTGTGTGTCACACCCCACAGGCGTGACTTTGTCGGCACGCTCCACCCCCTCATAACAGCTCTGTCTACAGATATTTTCTGTCTGGTTATGAGCCCAAGTAGTTTGATAGAAGTATAAACTTGAGAGACAATAGTTTGATGTAAAAGTGCAGATTTACTAAAATTGTGACGATATGGCAGTGAGAACTTGTTGAGTTTAGCGATGTCTCCGATTGCTAGACTCCGTGTTCATAGGTTCAACTGCCATTCATCGTGTTAACTATTCTCTTATTTCAATGTGTTCAAACAATCACATGAAGATTGATACACCGAAAGTTCAACGGCTTGTGTTGAGTGTGTGAATTTTTGGTTTCACACGAAAATGTGGATCGTGGGATTTCGTTTGTATATGACACGTGTTGTGGAGTATCACACGTGTCGCATCGGAATATGTATTCCGACTGTGACCTTACGCTTGGGTTACAAATATCCTTTGGTGGTTTCAACTGCTTGATAGAGTGATCAAAGAGGTCAGGTTTTTATTTTTATTTTGACCCAAGTGACTTTAGCTTGACATAGAGTTGTGAATAATCCCAGTTTGCCTGTCCATCCATCAGTTGGCCGCCAAGAAGCCTTAGAGGTATGTCCAGGTGAGTAGTGAACAATTTGCCCATGGATTTTTTTATTCCTTTTTTACCCACACAGATGGTGCAAACCCAATCTGAGCGATGGGAGCTTCTATTATTTATCATCTTCTTGTTTGGCATAGTAGAAACCTCAGCTTCCAGAAAGAAGAAACCGGAAAATGATCTTCTTCAATGCCACATTGCAGAACAAGATCAACAAAGCATGAACAGATCCCTTCCAATGAACCCACTCCGCCCTACTTTTGACCAGTTTGCTGCTACAATTTCTCCATCCCACTTCTGAAAGATGTTTTGCATGATCCATCATATGTTTGCCACCCTATGCGGAAAGATTTGAAATCAAATTGGACCCCAACTGTTTTGTCCAGAATAATATCTTGCTGAACGCCGTGAACAAATCTATGGAAGTAGGGAGCCAAGAGAACAAGACTCTGCATCTATCTCTATGGAACTCAGAGTTGCAATCAATGCAAACTGGAATGCGTACCAACAAGTATGGTCATGCATATTTGACAGAATAGAAACCCTTTGTTCACTACTAATTACTATCATCACTATCACTATCCCTTGCAGCATCAAGGGCTTCTTCCGAGATTTCTTTACAACCGCCATGTTTGCATTGATCCAATCCTCCAAATGATCTGTGTAAGCTTTCCTTCTTTCTAGTGTCATTGCATTCAAGAACCCAGAATCATCTTGGAGTTCAGTATGGGCTAACTTGGCCTTTGCAATGCTGGCTTCAATCTTGTGTAGTTCCTCCTTGTTTCCCTCTTGCGGCACAAGACGCTGAATCATACCACAAGCCACACCCATAATTGTTTTCATGTCTGAATGTTCTTCTTGTGCAGCTGCATACTTTGATTCCAATTCTACCTTGTTTGCGGTTTTCTTCTTTTTTGCCATTCTCCTTTATGAAGTGTTTCAAACTTTTAGTCTGCCTCTTTGAAGACTTCATCATATATGTCATATTCCATCTTGAACATAAGATTTACCACTCCTGGTTTTCCTTGGACTGAATATGTCCTCTTTATTCACTTCATCATGTTCATAATTATCGTCGTCACTTGATTTGTCCGAATTATCGTCAGATTCATCATTTTCATCCTCATTATCATCCCAATTTGCCACAAATTCGCTAACATCATTGACTTGATTTTCACATTCTTTGATTTCATCTTGAATTCGGTCAATTAAATCGTCATTTTCCTCATATGTTTCGCGGTTTTCCTCGATTTGTTCTTGATCGTTAAGTGATTCGACATCTTCCTTGTCTTTTTGTCTGTCTTCTTCAATTTCTTGAATCTTTTCATTTAAATCTTCATCATTCTGATATTTTTCATTTGGATTGTGATCTTGATTGGAATTATCATCTTCATTTCTCCGTCTCAATCGTTCATAAATACTTGCAACACTCCTGTCTTCTGTCTGTTCTTCAACATTTTTGGTGTGTTCATCGTCATAGTTTTCAATAAATTCTTCCGCTTCTTCAAGTAAAGCATCAATTTCATCTTGATCAATCTTTTCATTACGAAGATTCTCATTGCTTCGTTTGTATTCATTTTTGCGTGAAATATATGTATCATCCCACAGTTCATCTGGGTCCACTCCTGCGAGCAAATCACCATCCAATATGATTTCACCATTCTTCCAATGATAAGTACGTAAATCACGAACGCCCTCGTAGTGTGCCATTTGTTCCACAATTTTGTTCACTTGCTTGGTGATCGGAAGTACCATGACATAGGGTCTCGTTACTGTCTTTTTTGTATTAAGATCAAGTAACATATGTCCTGCTTGTATGCTGTCATTCACTCCAAGATAAATACCATCAATCGTCCTTGATCGTTGACTGTTGTTGGTCGTGTGACCATATCCTTGTACAAAGGATCCAATTTCAGCAACACATTCTTTTGAAAAATCCACCGGTTTTCGTCTCACAATCATATATGGACTGTAATATTTTGAAATTCCCTCCTTTGCAGGATAAAAGTTAATAACCTTTGTCACATGCTTGAGTAAAGCAATAGTCAAAACCTTGGGAATTGCCTTGAACACCATTCGATGATAGTGTGCTCGGAATAATCCTTTCAATGTTTGATTGCTGCACTCAATAGTTGGTTCGTGTTCGTCCAGCGCGGCATAATTCATGGTCACATCCATATTATCTTTCATGTCATCAAATACCGGTTTGAATTCGTTGTCGCAATAAATAGTTTTGATTCGAAATTCCGCATGATTATAAATGCGTAAAATTTTGTCAATTGACTTGTAAATAGCATCTTTCGTCCGATCTTTCAGTTCAGTATTGAATCGGAATTTGATCGCTTTGTCAATGCTGACAAAAAACGAGACATTGTTGGTAAACATAATGTCGATGCATAAATCCAGGTTCAAATTGTGTTTCAGTAGTTCCTAGGGCATTTTGATCCAATCATCAATCACTGTCTTTGGTGTTGGTCGCTTTTGCTTGCCCTTAATTGTTGAAACGCTCGGTCCATATATCTTTTCAGAGATATTAACATCTTCCTCCGTAATTGGACAATTTTTGAAAAAAATTTCCCGAATCGCGAACTTGAATAGTTCTGTACCAGGTGCCCATACAATATTTGCTCGTTTCACTTGTTTGTTTGTGAAACCCTCTTTGTTCTTCTCCACACTCTGTAGAGCACAGTACCCTTGCACATCATTATTATTAAGTCCACGTGCATGGTCATGAAACATTGCTGTTACCATAGCAGGTTCGTCAACCAAAGTATATAATCCATTGTGATGTCCAAATCGTCATGTAGTCCCGTTTCTAGTCACAAAGAAGCTGTTCTCTCTCTTTGTGTCCATAAATATATCAAATCCATCTTGTACCATATTTGACAAACTGTTGACGTTGTGACTAGCTCGTGTGTCAAGCTTACAAACAGAATCAAATACCTTATCAATTCCTTCTCGATAAAGTTCTCTTCCCTTGACATTAGAGGTATTGGAATCCTCCATGAATTCCTTGTAGACTTCCTTCTTTAAAGTCATCTTCATTGGTTCACAAATGATCCACTATCCAAGTGGATACCAGTATTGTTGTGTTGAAATAACATCATCCCTTGTTGTCTTGGATGATTGTCAGTATGTCCTCGTTGAATAAATTGTCCTCCATGGGATCCATTGTTGGAACGTCCATAGTTCCATTGAGTGTTTGAATCTCCGGATTCATTATCATCACGCGTTGCATTATCATCACGTTGCATATTCTGTCGATTACCACGACCATTCGCGTCCAAATAATCCCTATATTTGTCCGGGTTTTTCCATTGTTCCCGCGGCTTCAATTTGTCTGCACATTGAGGTGCAACATGATCTTTCGATGAGAGCATCGTCCACACGGCTGCGAAGAGTCATAATTTGGCTGTGGAAGTAGAGGGTGTCGGAATTGCTTGGATCGGTTCCACCACCGGCATAGGAAAGAGTGTCAAGCATCTTGATGGTGTTGTCGTGATTGTAGTCATCCATATTGTCAAGTTCTTCTGCCATGTTGAGGAAGGTGGCAACGATGGCGTTGACATTCTGTTGTGGGTAGCTTGTGACGGCAACCTTCCGAAGCTCCAACTCAATGTTGCATTTGCGGTCGATGTTGTTGTCATAGAGGAGACGACGGAGAAAGTACCATACAACAATAACCCATCAGTGGTGTTGTGGAATAGTTCAACTTCCTTTCGAAGATCTGGATCAATGGCGTTCATGAGTAAGTGTGCAGCGTCCCTGTCATTGGATCTGCAGTAGCTGTCATACGTCGGGAGAATCTTGGTGTATTCAAGCTCAGCTTCCTCTTTCGTGAACATATCGGAGCTTGTCACAACGGAGATCTGGTCGCCGCTGCGAGGAAGGTACATGACGGAGTCCAGTCCTCGGGAGACTGCAGTTTGCCAAAGTTCCTTCTTGAATCTAGTCATCTTCGTCTTCTTGGTGATCGAAACGAGGTCAGACGTTCTGCGGTAGGTGGCGCTTTTCATTGCTTCATAGCCTGTGGGACGCAACTGTCCCGGATGTTCCATGGTAGTGGAAGCTGAAGGATCAAGGCCAGTACGGGTCGGATTGGGTTTCCCTCCAGTCCAAGCGGTTTCGGTGCTGGAGCTGGTGCGGACCTTGTTCCCAAGAGTTGGAGTTGTTGGGCTGAAGAGCACGCCACTTGTTGGTGCTGTCGCCCCAGATGGTGGTGTGGGTCCAGCTTGTGGAGTTGGTGGAGTTGGTGGATTTGCTCCTTGAGCCATGGTTGGTTGGATCGTAAGGAACGATTGGGGCCGTAAAGTAAGAAAAGGAGACTGTTCTGCTTTGGTTGGTTTGGGTGCGATCGCTCCCTCTGTTTCTGCTGTTTCGTTGATGGCACTGTTGAAGACGTGAAGTAGATCAAGTGGTTCGGTGTGCCCTGTTGTGTTGTCGCTCGGTGACGGCGAGGAAATGTTGGTTCGGGTGCAATCGCTCCCTTTGTTTCTGTTGTGTCGTTAATGTGGGAAAGCTATGCGCTCGATGTTGGGAAGAAGCTATGCGCTCGATGTGTTGGATGGTTCTGCTGTTACGTTGACGTTTGGAAAGCTATGCGCTCGATGTTGGGAAGAAGCTATGCGCTCAATGTGTCGGATGGTTCTGCTGTTACGTTGACGTTTGGAAAGCTATGCGCTCGATGTTGGGAAGAAGCTATGCGCTCAATGTGTCGGATGGTTCTGCTGTTACGTTGACGTTTGGAAAGCTATGTGCTCGATGTTGGGAAGAAGCTATGCGCTCAATGTGTCGGATGGTTCTGCTGTTACGTTGACGTTTGGAAAGCTATGCGCTCAATGTGGGAAAAAGGCGATGTGCCACCCGGTGGAGGATTCTTGTAGGTTGAGATCTCTGATTTGTTTGTGTTGTATTCTTGTTGGGAAGCGTGTGGTAGTTATCCGATTTGGGCTGTAATAACCAGTCAGAAAATATCTGTAGACAGAGCTGTTATGTATTTGGAGCGAAGTAGTTTGATCGAAGTATAAAACTTGAGAGACAATAGTTTGATGTAAAAGTGCAGATTTACTAAAATTGTGACAATATGGCAGTGAGAACTTGTTGAGTTTAGCGACGTCTCCAATTGCTAGACTCCGTGTTCATAGGTTCAACTGCCATTCATTGTGTTAACTATTCGCTTATTTCAATGTGTTCAAACAATCACATGAAGATTGATACACAGAAAGTTCAACGGCTTGTGTTGAGTATGTGATTTTTTGGTTTCACACAAAAATGTGGATCGTGGGATTTTTGTTTGTATATGACACGTGTTGTGGAGTATCACACGTGTCGCATCGGAATATATATTCCGACTATCACGTTGCATATTTTGCCAATTACCACCACCATTCGCGTCCGAATAATCCCTATATTTGTCCGGGGGTTTCCACTGTTCCCGCGGCTTCAATTTGTCCGCACATTGAGGTGCGACATGATCTTTCGATCCGCACACAAAACACGCTCGAGTTTGTTGTTGCAAAAACTGAGCTCTGTCATTTTGATTGTTGTTTGACTTGTTTTGTTTTCCTTCTCCATTCGAATTCTTCTTCCTCTTATCGTGCTTGTGTTGATTCAAAACATCAGCAGCAAAGTAGTTGGAAATGTACAACGTTGTTTGAAATCCAGATGTTTCAATGTGTACTGCGCTGTCATTCCATCAATTCTTGATTGATACTTGGCTCTATATGAATTATACAGATATCCGTTGGCCATGAATCTTTCCCATGATTCCTTCTTGTGTTGGGATTGTTCAGCATCGTTTCCCAATAAATTTTATTCCTGACTCTTCTCAGTAAATTTGTCCAAAAAATCATCACCAAGCAAAGCTTGTAATGCCTTCGCCCTTTCTTCAAATCGTTTACGAAAACTCGCAATGTTTTCCTTCTCCTTTTGATGGCAATTAATCAGATTGCTCATGGTCTTCCATAGATCAAAATATTCCCATTTTGTATCAACAGTAGTCGTCGAAAATTTCTTGATCCGCATCAATAGCTCCACAGGATCATTGAACAGTTTGTTATCAAAGTCAGCTTCTCGCTCAAGCTTGTCCACCATATGATCGGTGCACATCTTCATAATCATTCCATAGACATTGCGTTTATTGTTATCAAACGCGTTCTTCCTGGCCTTCCAATCCTTTCGATCAGCCAAATAGTTAGTTCTTCTTTCTT